ATTTATTATTTAAGCTTTATTTAAATTAATATTTGTTCTTTTAATAAATTTTTTAAAATATTATTATATCATTAAATTACTTTATAGTTATATTTACTTTTATTGATTCTTAATTAAAATAATAAATAATAAACAAACCATATTAATTATTTTAAAAATTGAAAACAAATGCATAAAAAAATAATAAATTTATTATTTTAATTTTATGATCCAAGTAACATAATTTTATTAAACTTAATTAGTTATTAAATAAAAATTTATTTATAATGTTAATCAATATTAATTCTATTAAGTTATCAAACAATATAGAATAATTTAATATTTTAAAAAACTCAATTCTATATTTTTTATATATTTTATTTTATCAATAAGTAAACTTCTAAATTTAGAATATATGTTACATTATTATTAGCTTTTATTTACAATAATTTTGTATAGAAATTTTATTTATATAGAAAAAATTTAAAATATTTTTACTGTTAAATATTAACATATAATTTTGTATATATTGATATCAAAATCATATTTTTAAAATTTCATACATTAGTTGAATAAATATAATTTTATTTTTTATATATTAGTCTGATGAGTTATTTAAAAAAAAAATTATATTATTTTTTAATAATTATTTAGTAAAAATTTTATTAGTAATTTTAAATTGTAATTATAAATAAACAATTCATCATATCAATTTAGTTCAACAAATATAAATAAATACAAAAATAAAAAATTATAAGGCCTTTTATTTAAATTTTATAATTTATATTAAAAAATTTGTTATATTTAATAATTTATTATTATAATTATTTATTTTAAAATTTTATAATGATAAACAGTTTATGATATCATAAAACAATATAAATTTTATTTTTACATTTTAAAGATAAGATATTTTATGCTATTTAAAATTAATTTTCTTAATAATATCATAAATTATTTTTTTAGTCTATCAAACATTTTAATTTGATATAAATAACTATAGGAATTACTAAATTATACATATTTTAATTTCACAGTACTATTTTTTTGTAAATAAATTTGTTTATATAACAATACAAAAAATAATGTATTTTAATTTACATACATTATCATATAGTTTTTTAATGTATTTACACTAAAATTTTTATTATTATTATTTTTAATAAAATTATTACAATAATAAAAAAATTATTTATTTATACTTTACTTAATTAACATGTTCCTTTTGTATAATTTGAGAAGAACCTTTCCTTTCCATAACTTTATCACAGTATCCATCGTAACAAGTGCAACATTATTTGAATAGTCCATCAATTTAGATAACAATAAATAAGCAGACTAAACTGAATAGTATCATGAGAAATTAGCTCTTTAAATTCATTTATCCTCTTCCAAACCCCTCACATAAACACTGTCTATAAGCTCTAACATGAGGTTATTAGTAGGGTACTCATGTTGAAACAAATTCTTCCTCCAACTCACTTTCCATACCCACTTAGTTCCATCATGGAAACCATTTTCCAAAACATAAGAATCCACATTCCTTGCCACCGCAAATAAACGCGAAAAAGCCTCACATAAACGTATCCCACCAACCCACTTATCTCACCAAAACAGAGTATTCAAACCAGCCCCCACACACCTATCTAGCTTCTCATCTAGCTAAGAGTTACCTTGTTGAATTACCACCATTAGATCACGCCACCACATAGAACTTTTATTATTCACAACAGGTTTATGAATAGAATAGGTCAACTTACCATACCTTATTTCCAAAACACGAACCCACAAAGAACCAGTACTATTAACACCATGCCATATCCATTTCCCAAGAAGAGTCCAGATAAACCACTCTACATTGCGAATGCCCAAGTCGTCATCCTTTTGCGGACAACACACAAGGTCCTATTTCACCTATGGGAGTTTAGACCTATCCTTGACACTCCTCCACAAAAATCTACTTTGAATGGACACAAACTCTGTAATCAGTGACTTTAGCGCTTTGTAAAAGGACAAGGAGTGCAACGACATCGTATTGAGGACAACATTAATCAGAGTGACCCTCTCACCAATCGATAAATATCTATGCTTCCATGAAGCTAACCGTTTCTTAAGAGCTCTAATCACACTTTTCCATGAACTAGGCTTCCTTGGGCTGATAACTAACTGTAGCCCATGATACTTCAACGGGAATCTCCCAATCTAAAAGCTCAACAGCTAAGCTTTCAAACTCATCACCCATATTCACCCCCAACATGTAACTTTTGTGTAAGTTAATTTTCATACCCGATGCTAACTCAAAATTGCATAGGACTGCTTTCAAGGTCCACAAATTATGCACTGTTGCTTCACCCATTATCAGAGCGTCATCTGCAAATTATAGCAAAGAAATTTCTGGCCTCCCACCCCTAATCTTCACACCTAAAAACAAACCATTACCCCCGGCTTTACACATAAAAATCTTTATTATTGAAAAAGATAACAAATATATAGGATATACAAAAAATATTGTATATAAGAAAATATTTCATAATCTTCTTCAATGTAATTATATTTAATATAATAATTTTTTTACTATATATATTTTTTATATTTAAATTATATATTTTATATTTTAAAATAAATTAATTTAATAAAAATAAAATAAACTCGTGTAATGTATAGACATATTTATTAATTGTAATGTAGTGTTAGATGTCACTTATTATTTATAATATTAAATATAAAATATTTAAATTTAATTTTATATCTAAATATTAAAAAAACATAAAATTATACACAGAGAATAATTTATTAAAAATTAATATAATATATATTTTTAAAATATATAAAAATAAAAAAAAATTTATTATATTTTTATCATAATTGAATTTAGATAAATTTAAAATAAATATTAAACATAATATATAATTATAAAATAAATATATTTAATTTTAAATTATTGATAATAGAAGATTGAGAATAACTCATATTTATACAATTTGATTTTTCGTTTATATATGCATACATGAAATACATTTACAAAGAATGTTAAAAGTATTTTTTTCAAATAACTTTAGTTAACAATTGAAATTTGTTGAAAACAAAATATATAAATGATTTGTTAAATTAAATAAAATTAAAGCAATTTTTTATTTATAAATATTTATTAATAACAAAAATATACTTTAAGACGTGTATTAAAAAACCTATTATAAATATTTTTCGGATATTCAGTGATGAAGATTAGATTAGGACGTCTCTCCAATGGAAAAGAAAAAAGAAAAGGGATGAGAATGTAGAATGTAGATGACGTGTTTAATCAGCAGCTAGAACTCGTATTGGGCCAGTGGCGTAGTGCCCTGTCCAACTTCGACAAGCGTCAACCAGGCAAATCAGGAATAACCCTTTTGTTTCTCTTTCTTTTGTTTTTTTAATTTTTCTGAAATATTATACAAACTGTTACTATTTTTTATTGAATCAAATTTGCATAGAAAAGTATGTATCTATTTAGAGAACATTAATTATAAAAAATAAAAGCTATTTTTCTTATTAATAATGAGTGTTTTATTTTGTTAAACAAAAAATAAAATTATAAAGTAAATTATTTAAATTAAGCGATATTGTATACTGATATGATGTGCCAAATAAAAAGTAAATTCAAATAAAATGTTTTAAGAACATAATAATCTCTAAACAAAATTTATCTGCGTTTATTTATATTGATATATTATATCATAGTTTAAAATTTAATTAAAAATTTTAAATATGAATTTAAAAAAGATATTTTAAAAATAAAATTTATTCTGATATAAATAGAATTATTATTTTTTAACAAGTATAATTTTAGAAGTTACTTTCATCTTTATTCATACAACTTGTTTTGTATTGACCTTTTTTTTTCTTTTGAATAATTTATTTTCATAACTTTTGTCTCAATCCCAAAAATTTTATATGCTTAATTTATCTTTATTTAATATTTTTTAAATTTAAAAATAAAAATGCAGTGCATGAAAAACTAGTTGGTTATAAAATAAAAATAAAATAAAATAATCTATAATTTTTGAGCTTTAGGTGAAATTATTAGAATGACTTATCATAGTAAAATTTATTAGTTCTCTTAATATTTTTATTACTTGTTATTGTCAAAATAATTAAATTTTATTTAAGATTAATTATTTTACAAACGGTGTCAAATATATATATATATATATATATATATATATATATATATATAAAGAGAGAAATAAGATTTTTTTACACTGGTGTAAGTTTAAAAACTTTAACATAGTTACACCATAAAAAGATTTACACTGGTATAAGAAGATCCTTCTTTATATATATATATATATATTAAATGATTTAGAATTTTACTAATATTTTAATTTCTTTAGTTAACACAATAATTTGAAGTTTAAAAATAAATTAAAACTATCATGATAATATAATAGTAAAGAGAGGAACGGAAGAAAGAAATAAGAAATTTTGAAGAAGAAATGTCAACATTTTGTAGAATAAATAACCAGAAAAATATTATATGTTAAAATTATCAAATAATAATACTGCATCGTATTATTATTGACTTTTAAATAATTATTTATAAAAATTAATTTAAACAGGAGTTGAATCCTTGCTGAAAATGGTAACATCTATTTGTTTATATGTAGATATTAAAAATATTTAAATAACAGATAAAAATTTAATTAATAAAATAATAAGTTAAGAATCGTGGGTTTTAATTTAATTAAAAAATGTTAACTTTTTAATATTAAAATATTTACGCTAAACAGTAAAATTTACGATCTCAACACAATCTTGAAAAGAATTTAAAAATATTATCAAGCAAATACTTCTCAACGAAACATTTGGACAGTGAAATAGGGATTCCAGTCCCTCTGAAACTATCTCCTTTTCTAAAAGAAATAATAATTGGTGTATGTTATATAAAGTTTTTTAACATACCTAATATTGTCGAGAATAAAAAAATAAATATTAAAATAATTGTTTTTTATAAAATTGGAAAAAATTAAAACAAAGAATTTGGGTTACCGAAAGAAGCCCGGCAGAAGGGAAAAGGAAAGACAGCATCCGTTCCGAGTAGGGAGGAGGCACAAAGTTATGTTGTGTGTTGTGTGTTGTGTGTTGTGTGCTGTGTGCTGTATGCCTCCTCAACTCCACAAAGGAACTCTTGAAAAGAAAAAGAAAGATAGGGAAGGCGTTTAAAACACTTGTTCCTGCTCCCCATACTACTTCCCTCTATCTTCCAACATTCTCAATCAACACCCATTATTTTAATCCTTTGATTAATTAATTAATATTCCTCGTGCGTCGCTTTTTCTTCAAGGTTACTGCATCACTCCTAATTCTCACACTCAAGCACCGTGCTCCTTCCTTCATTCGCTGCTTCACTCACATCAACCATTCCGTGCACTCAACTCTCTTCTCCCAATAATCAATCACCATGGCGTCACTAACAGCGGTTTCCCAAACCCAATCCGTATTTATTAAGCCACACCTCGTCGCTAAGCCTCGCCAATTCCGTTCCGTTTTCTTACCTGCGAGGTTACCGTTTCGTGGCGTTGGCGTGGCGATGCCGAGGAAGAGCTTAATCGTGTCGGCGACGACGGCGGAGAAGCAGAAGAAGCGGTACCCGGGGGAGTCGAAGGGGTTCGTGGAGGAGATGAGGTTCGTGGCAATGAAGTTGCATACGAGGGACCAAGCCAAGGAGGGTGAGAAAGAGGTGAAGGAACCCGAGGAGAGAGCGGTAACGAAGTGGGACCCAACAATTGAAGGGTACCTCAAGTTCCTTGTGGATAGCAAGCTCCTTTATGACACGCTCGAGAACATCGTTCAAGAAGCTCCTCATCCTTTTTGTGAGTTTCTGTTGTCACGCGTTGCCTTCTTTTATTATTCTTTTTAAATTGTTTTAATTATATGGCTTATTTTATTTATTTATTTTTGATTTTCTTAACTTGGTAATGGCGTCTGAGTGATATTTTATGTTTGGGTTTTATTTTCTGTTTGCTGGCTTGTGATTTTTTCATTTGTTTTGGTTGTTGCTGCAAATGCGTGGTAGTGGTGAGGTTATTTGGTGTGTTGTTATTTAACTCGAACCTGTGATGAGTCACGTTGAATTATTGTTGTTATGTCGAAAAGAAGCAGGATTGAGGCTGCTTATGCTTTTGTGAGGTAGTAATTGTGATGTCATTCTAAGGGCTAAATGCGCGTCAGTTATTGTGATTGTTTGGAAATGGTTGTCAAAGGTTGAGTGCGCTGGCAATTGGAAAGTTCATCTTTTCTCATTTTCCATTTCATTTTTTGTATTATAGTACTTTTGACGAGGTTAAGCTGTGAGCAAGATCCCCATTTTTCTGACTAATATTTGTGCACAAACGACCATCTGTAATGTATAGGAATTCATATCAATTTTGAGCAGTTGGGAGGTTATAGTTGTAGGGACAAGTGCTATAATGATCTGAGAATGGCCCATCTGCAAATTCTTCAAGGTTTGACTTGAGGATATACTGAAGTTGAATTGATTGTGCTAATCTCATTTTAAAAATCCATGTGCATGATTGTGCTAAATTCTGAGGGTTTCTTGCTATTATCCATATTAGATGGTGTGTTTTGTAATTGTTTAGTATATCTACAGACTACTGCTAATATGCTCTTTGGTGTTCCCTGGTGTATGTAAGTATGTATAAACGTTCTCAACTAATCTGATAGTTAAATGCCTGATGATGCATTTGCTTTCTTGCGTAGATGCTGAATTCAGAAATACTGGATTGGAAAGGTCTGCAAGTTTGGAAAAAGATTTGGAGTGGTTCAAGGAGCAAGGTCATACCATTCCTGAACCTTCTTCTCCAGGTCTTACCTATGCACAATATCTTAAGGAGTTATCTGTGAAGGACCCCCAAGCCTTCATTTGCCACTTCTACAACATCTACTTCGCCCATACAGCTGGTGGTCGAATGATTGGGAAAAAGGTAACTAATCACTTGTGCTCAAATTGGTTAAATTAGGTTGTGTCACAATGATTATTAAGTACATCTTTGGTTTTGAGTTCTATTTGTTGGCCGGAACATCCAGATATTTGCAGAATTGTCACATAAGTTGATAGAAACTGGATCAGAGAAATATGAATAGAATAAAGAATGTCTTTGTTACTCAAGATTCACTAGAATCAACCTTGCCTGAAAATGGAGGAAGACTGAATTAGGGTAGAGAAAATACAAAGATAAATGACCCAGGATATGTTGAGTCCTGGTCTCTCCCAATCTGAACCTTACCTGGTCTCTCCCAATCTGAACCTTACCCCACTTCTCAAAAATGCCTACAACTGATTTTACCTTCCTTATTCATGCCCCCTAACAGAAACTTAACTTACTATATGAATGGCCCACTCATGAATATTCTGATACAGTTGTTGTCCTCCCCCACTTTAGTTTTCCATCTAACTCTTCTCTTATAGGAGATCTGGTATCATATGTACTACATGTTCTATTTTATCTTTGCATCAAACTCTTTGTTGTGTGGGTGTAACTATTAGTGTGCTGCTGGTAATTAATCAATATTACTAATTCAATGTGTGCATGTTTGAATTAGCACATCTTGCATTAAAAAGAAAACAATAAACATATATGCCCAAAGACCTTGCCGAAGCATTTTGATTATAAGCTTTTTGAAATTGAACTAACAACTGAACTTGAAATTCAACCTGGCCGCAAGGATTCAAATGATGTCATTTCCAATAATTCAAAAGTATAAAATAAAAATAATCGATAAAGAGCTGTTTGCATGTGTGGTTCCTACCACTGAGGTTTCCAGGAGTAAATTGTTATTACAGCATTACACAATAAGGGTAGTAAGTAAGCTTCACTAGGTTGTGAATATTTTTCTAGCTTACCTGATGAGGTAAAAACTAATAATGAGTTTTATCCTTTCTATACACAATAATATTTTCCCTCATCTTACAGGTTGCTGAAAGATTACTTAACAACAAGGGGTTGGAGTTCTACAAATGGGATGGTGACCTTCCCCAGTTGTTGCAGAATGTGAGGGACAAGTTGAATAAAGTTGCTGAGGTAAGTTTCTTAATTCTTTGCATACATTTCTTTACGATCATTTAAGAAATAATTAATTGATTGATTTCTATTGCAGTTTTTTCTCAATTATCAAAGGATACAGTGATAGCTTTAAAATTTTGAGTTAAGGTGTTGAATATACCTTTTTGGTATTCCTTTGTTGTTTTATCAGGAATGGTCTCGGGAAGAAAAGAACCACTGTCTGGAAGAAACAGAAAAATCGTTCAAGCTCTCAGGAGAGATTCTCCGTTTAATTCTATCATGATAATAGGTGCCCTGATATCTGTGTAATTATGGATATTAAAGCTCACGATGGAAGCCAAAAAAATATTGTCATATATATTATTTAATTTCATTTCATCCTTGCAAAGGATTAATGGAACTGTTGTTTGCATGGAAGCTGTCTTTTGTTGATTTACTTGCCTCTCTCATAGCTTAAGAGTTCTTTGTTGCCGAGAATGGAACTTACGGATAATACTGAGCCAAAAAATGCTAATTTGATTTTGACAGAAACTTATTTTACTGATAAAAACACTGGAGACTAACTTCTTGCTGGAACAGAAAAATGCAGAAATTGAAAGATAAATCGAGTTATGTGGAACTGCTAGCTCAAATATGCTTCCTTTTCGCCTCAATTGCTACCCATCTTGCTGTATGAATATTTTCCTCTTATATTCTTATCCTCTCTAACCGTATTCGTACCCTTAACAGCATCAAGAATAAACCCACATCATCTCCCTCCTTGGTGTAAGAAATAAGTTTGGAAGAGGAACTTGCACCCATCATCAATATCTTGGTGCAAGGGTAAGGAAGAGCAAGTGTCCATGGACGCCTATGCTGCTGAACCCAACTAAGGTTAAGACTGCATGATAAAAACAAAGAACCTTTCTTCCCTCAGTTACCAAGCCAAGTAATTAGGGAAAACACTCAAATACCAAGTAAAAAGGATTAAGAAAACACCACCAAACTAAAAAATTTCCCCACTTTTCCACGTGAACCCAGCTGATGGAAATATGACATTAATAATCAAGCAATCATCAAATTGCTTCTCTCTTTCACTCGTGCACCCTACCCTGAGGCATGCATAGAAGACAAGAATTTTCCATGCTTCCCTACGTGCCGAAGAACCAATATTTGCACTCCACTTAATATGCAATAAAAGATAGGGACTTTATGGCAAATGAGACAATAATTTATGCTCCAAACCTTAGTGGAATGAGTGGCAAGAGGGAAAGAAAATTCTGAACGCATAGTGTTGTAATATAAGAGTGAAATAAGCATAGTTCACAGATAATGCCTTCCACTAAACCCCAATTACTTTATTCTCAAAACTAAGAACAAACCTTTCCATTCTCTCGTCTTCTTCTCATACATTGAACTTCCCTTCTTCTCTCTGCATGACACTCTTAGTCCGTGCACGTAAAAGTTCTACAAGAATTTCATTCACCCCTCTTGATATCAAGCTAAATCGAGGCTGCACTAAGGCCAAACTGAACCAAGCTATTCGATTCCAAAAAGCTCTACACCTCTGCACTGGTAAAGGACCCTCACATTGGAGGAAGGAGAACTGAGCCCAAAAAACCTGCACCCTCGGTCAAAGAACCAACAAAAAGGTGAGACACATGTAAAGTTCATTGAAAAAGTGAGTTATTCATGCTTGCATCCAATCTATCCTGCTTGTTTCGTCTCCCAAACCCTTTCATTTTTAACTTGACTTTATTCTTTCATATATTACACTTCATTATCTGTCCATTGCCACTTTTGAAGTAGGATTTAGACAACAAATCACCAAGATATGCAATTTTGGTGAATCTGTTTTAGAACCAGTTTTCCTCTGCCCTCTTTTTGGACTACCTGTGTTTGATTTCATTGACATGCACTTCCATTATTAAGTTTCTCATAAAATATACTTTCCATCAAGCTATCTCACACATCATTTAGAATTCATTTGATCCCGTAAAAGCATCCACCAAGTAGGCACCTCAAATTTGTCATTCATATTGTGACACCAGCAGAATGACTCTTCAAAATGATTTTTCTGCACCTCAAGCTTGCACAGTTTTCAACTTTATAGACATTTCCGTGATTCTTAAAGCATTAGCTTTAAAACCTAATTTTCAAATTTTGATTTGGAGATCGTTTCCCCTATTTTCAACCCAAAATTTGTAAATGACTCAATGTAAAATTTTGTAGAAACACATTTTTGAGTTTACATGGGACAACCTTGCTCTCTATATTTAGCAAAATTTACATGTATAAAATTTCTCCTAACCACATTTCTACGTTCTCTGTAGTACTAGCTTTCTAACAAGTTATCATAAGCTTATTTTGGACTCCAATTGCACCCCCAAAGGATCCTGACAGGGACAGATTTGCATAATTGATTACTAGGACAAACTCACACATGGGAATTTATGCGCAGACACAATTCTAAAATCCTTGTGTTCTTAGCTTTCCAACAAAAGTAACGGGACTCGATTTGGACACCAATTCTAAACTCTAATAATAGGAATCTGATGTCTTCTCTACGTATTTTTGGAAAAAATTGTCCCAAATCTGTTATGTTCACAAGAAAAAAAGAAAGAAAAGACAATCTTTATTGAATTGATGAATTTTTAGTGTACAATCCTGTACCGGAGCAAAGCATCACCGGCATGAATTGATGAACTAAGTATGAATCTTTTGTCCCTACTTACTCCTAAGACATGTAAAGTTGGTGGAGCTAATTGCAGCTGTAGCTGGGATACTACTTTGGTCTAGCTAGTGAAACTTCAACAACTTTTGATGGATAAAGACGAATCCAAAAGTCACAAAATTTATTGAAAAGTTTCTAAGCCAAACCAAATTGCATATGTGAATTTTTATCATGTATAATTGCTTTAAAATTGAATTACTTGATTTAAAATAAATGAATGTGCTTATTTGATTTTGATATAGTCCCATTTATTCTTTCCTAAATTTTTGTTATTTGATACTACATCTCACTCCTTAATTTTCTTTGGTGAATTGTATTTGTGGTTTGCTTTTTCTTTTACTTTTAACAGATTGTGAAAATGCTGATTTCCAGACCTTTCATGAACATTGAATTGGTCTTCGAAGAGAATCGATGCAGCAGAGAATGGGTGACGCATGCCTCGACTATCGCAGTACCTTCTGATGTTGGGTTACTATCATCTTTATAGAGGTATGGGTTGGTACCTTTGCACGTTTATTTCAAGATTCTCCTTCAGTTTACCTTTACTGTCCCTTTTGACGCATATCAATGTCAAGACTGTACACTAGAATCCTCTAGCACTCTTATATATACATCAATCCCTGACTCTCAGACCACAGTGAACCAAGTGGTTAATGAGTTATGCTTCCTTCACTCCTCCACAGCCACCCATCTTCCTAGACACCTGCATTTCTATACCTGAAATTTGTCCAACTCATCCACACTAGTAATTCCTTCTTTTCCTTACCCTCGACTGAGCCCAAAGAGAACCTCTCCAAGAATGATGAGTAGACCCGTACCTCTGGTTGGAGTTCCACAGGCTGGCAATGGAACTTTAGGATTTTATGTTTATTTCATTTGTGTTTGTAATGCACTTTCTTGGTATCTTGTTTATCTTCCACTTGACTGTTATGTTTTCTTAAAACTTGTATGAATTATAGAAATTACATTTATAATCTTAATTATGCTTTATCAAATTTGCACGATGGAAATGATATATCTTATTTATATTTTTTTTGTTTATTGGTTCGCTATTTTCGTTAGTCTTTTTATAAGGACTAGCTTCTACTTCTTCATTTTCTACTTGTATTTTTATTTGTTCTAAAAGAGAATATTCCGCCTCTATTATTTTTCCTGTAGTAGTTTTTCATATATATATATATATATATACGTGTGTGTATTTTAATATGAACAGTGCAAGAAAAGAAATTCAAGTCCAAATGCATGACTAAGGACTAGCATGACGGCCCAAGTCATGTAAATGGAAATTAAATAATTTTCTAAAAAAAAAAAGACCATGAGTTATATTGAAATGTGTAACACCTTAAATTAATTTCAAAATAATAAATTTTTTAAAATGAGAATAATTAAAATTTTGTTTAAATATGATTTTTCAATACAGAGTTTCATCAAGATCTTTCAAAACAATAAGGGATTACAAGTTTATATCGTTAACTACTATAGGACCAATCCAATTACATTGTAATTCTAAAACAAAATCTAAGCCCTATAGCAGTTTCATCCATCCCTTCACTGAGTCGGTGCTAATCGTCTTGGTCATTCAAAAATAAATATAAAGGTGGGTACTCTACACTATCTAACACATAATCAAATATAGTCTCACCTTGCACATGCTTCACATCATTTCGAAGACGATTTACACAAGTATAATCACAAGTAGCAATGTCAAGTAATTCATTTCATTTCACAATCGGTGTGCCCACTACACCAACAATATTTCATACACAAGTGCGCTCACTGCACTTAGATATGCCCACTATGACATTGTGATCACAGTTTCACACCATGAATGGTCGCCGGTTATCCCTGTCTCACGGATATCGCGTGGGCAGTCACAAGTCACTCGGCAAAGGTAGTGGTCAGAAGTCTAGTCAAAAGGAGAGTGTGTGACCTATGGTACACCCACGCTCACTGTTGGTGTCACCACCACTTTCTCTTCCCCAAAGTATTTCTACCGTCCCCATCTTCCACACCTCTATTTTATCGTTGAACCATTTATAGCATAATCATATGACGTTTAATATGCCCCATTCACACACAGTTCAGTCACATACAATACTCATTCATAACACACGGCACAATGCCCATAGTCATTCACATTACACGGCACATAGGCCCACATTCGTTTACAACACACAGCACGCGTGCCCATATTCCATCACACAACATTTTCAACATAATCCACATTCATCAATTTATTCCATCATACATCCTTTACTCTATTCAATCTTTCCACCACAATCTTACTACAATCAATCAATTCTATTAAACACACACATATTCCAAATCATCCACATGACATTGCATAGCAAACTATATGGCATTCAAACATAATGAGATAGGGTGGAGTTCTCCCCTTACCTCAAATCGAAGACCCAACACAAAACGATGGTAGCAAATGGTCCCCACTCGAATTTTGTCCCTAAAACACATGGAAAAACTCCGTGAGAACTCAAACAGAATCCAGAAAACAGAGAAGAGGGACAAAAACCAAAACTTTAACCATTCAAACTCTCCTCCAAGCATCCCTAACATGAATTCAACCTTCAATCTAGCTCACGAACAGCTTTGGAGGCAATTTAATCGATGGAATAAGGGTTAGGATTGAGAGGATCGAAGAAATTTTGAAGGTAGATATGAGAAATGAAATTCCCCAAATCCTAAACCCCTTTAAACTCCCTTCTGGTCGCGACACTCTCGCTGTAGCGAGGTCCCATCACTGCAGCAACACCCTCTCTCGCAACAACGAAAATCTCAGAGGGAATTGCATTCTGGTTTCTGCAAAATCTCACTACAACGAGACTACACTCAGAATTATACCCCAAACTATCACTCTCTTGCTACAATGAGAGAACATTTGCTACAGCGAGAATGGCATAGTTTTATGTCTTACGCCTAGGGCTTTCTCGCTACAGCGAGAATCCCCTCACTACAGCGAGAATGCCCTGCAGCATCCACATTCAACTTGCATATATATATATATATATATATATATATATATATTCAATCAACTTCAGTCAGCCATAATCCACATTACATTTCATTCATTCATGCATGTCCACGTCATACACACATATATAGCTCTGAAAATCACTTCTAAGTGTCGACTTTGGACGATTTAAGTTCCTAATTCAGTTAGAGAAGCTTCTAGAAGACCTTTCATGTTACAATTTTTAGAGATTAATGTGTGGAAGTGGAAAAGGCGAGAAAAACACTATAAATAGAAGTTGAAAGTTCAGATTTGGAACTTTTGTTCATTTTTTGTTATTTTTCACTTTATAATTATTTTAACTTCCAAGGGAGTCAGAGAGAGGGGTTGCGAGTGACTTTCAAGCTTCATTGCTAGAGGAATCAGGGTGAAGATTAGGTCTTGGAAGATGTTATTTTGCTTCTTGTCTTTTTCGTCTCTTATTTCTCCTTCTTCTATTGTAATATTGTTCTAAACCTTTTTGGTTAGGAATCTATGGATCCAGATTTGATATTATGATGTAGTTTTGGATTTGATCTTGAGATTTTAATTGAATTGAGAATATGATTTTATTTTTAATGCAATTGTGAACTAATCCTTCATTCAATTGAACTTAGAGGAATTTTCATCAATGAAAATTGAGTTTATTTCTCATATCTGAATCATGTGCCTAGGTTATTGAGATCTTAGGAATAAGTATCATAATTTAGTAATCCTATAATTTCCAGAACTTAATGCAATATTTGATTGAATTTCACCTAAAGAATTATGGAGGTTTAATTAGATATTAGGATCAATGAGGCAAGAAATTGTCCTTTGGTTAAAGAAGTGAAATTAATTATCAATCAATTAGAATTCTTAAGAGTCTAGAACATTATTACATTGCAATTAAAAATCTGGTGAAGTGATTCCTAACTATTTTTCATATAGCATTTTTAATACAAATTTTGTATTCTATTTTTATAGCACAATTGTTACCTTTCATTGTTTTTATTCCTTACTTTTACATGTGTACAAATCTTCTAAATGAATTGTGTGGCTCAAATAATTATTGAATTGTGAATTGGTAATAGAAAATAAGATCCTTGTGCACGATACTTGGGACTAATATTAATTTTCAAATTTTATTACTTGCTACATCTACCTAGTATACTTGCTAGTTAGGAATTTTACGCAAAAAATACTGCTGTATTTTTAATTTAATTTGCATGTATGAGCTACCTTTTTTGATTAATTGTCATTTTTAGATCCTATGAAATTCTTAAGTACATGTTTATATAGACTTTGGTCTAATTCCTTTATTACCCTTAGTTTGAGAATCAGACCAAATTCTTGGATTAGAATTAGTTTCATGTAAAAGTTTATTTTTATGGTCACCCAAAATGATAAATCTAGACCTTGAGGACGTATCTTTCCCTTTATAGGTTTATACCTAACTTCTTCTTTAGGGGCCTCTTGACCAATATCCAAGGGTCAAATAATTGTTAATAAGTATCCAAGAGAGCACTCTTATTACTAGATTGAATCTCATCCTTAATAGGATCATTGTGTGAAACCAACTCATTATCCATATTTGTAACTAATTGAGAAGAAGTAAACATATCAACCTTAAGCAAGCCCTAACCTACCATAAGAGGTTTTTGTTATAAACCTTTAAGGGGAGATAAACAATTCAAACTTAAGCAACAATTTTTCTAAGATTTTGATCCTTAAGGTTTTAAACAATGACCTCTATCTTTAGACTCAAAGGTCAAGGATCAACTAGAGACCCTCGAACAAATCATATTTATAATCATCCATATTATCAAACTTGATTAGAAAAAAATGTTATTCAAGTTAAGTTAAGAACTTTCATATTATCATTTTCCTCCAAAATAATACTTAGGAGGATATATTAGTTTAGGATTTCATAGGATTTAAAAGAATTTTTTAAAGTAAAAAAGTCTGTTGGTATTAATTAGGATTTTATATCACTTAAAAATAATTCAGTGATATTCAATCTGAATTTTCAAGATTTTTTAAAGAGTCCATTAAAATTCATTGTTATTCATTTGATAGTTTATACAACTTAAAAACAATCCATTGGTATTAAAAAATATAAAGATTTTAAAGGATTGTTGTATTAAAGGGATTTTGAAGAACTTTTTAGTGGTATCTATAAATACCAAATTCATAAAACAATCTCATTAAAACCCATCAAATTTTGAAGGATTATTTGAAGTGACTTTTCAAATGCTTCAAGAATTTCCATATGAGTTTTCCATCTCTTTTTTTTCTATGATCCCGTCTTCTCCATTTTTTTCTCTGTTAATAATACTGCACTACTGCTCATATATAATATTGTAACACTATTCTCATTCCATTCCCCTATTTGGTAAAAATGTAAATGATAGTGCCATTGATTGTTCCTTAAATATATAACACAGAAAATGCTTGAAATTTTAACTTTTAAGTAGTAATTTTTTTTATAACACGCGTTAAGAAAAGGGAAAGGTGAAAGTTAAAATTGATATCATGATATCTACAATCAACTGTAAATCTTCAAATAGTTAACTAGCACCTTTAACTGTTGAGTTTAAGATATTTGTCTATACCATATAATATTTTTTAATTGAATAAATGGATGTTTAAATATCTAAAATATAGAAATAATAATGTATATATATATATATATATATATATATATATATATAGCAGTTAAGCATTTTATGAAGCTATAGTATTATTTTTAATTATATAGGTACCTATTAGGTGAGATATAAATTTAATACGTATTATTATTTATAATTATTTATATAACTAGTTTTCAACATATGTTGTTTTAGTAATTCAAATGGGAGATTCACAAGGAAATAATAAAGGAAAGGGAAAAGAGAATGAAAACTATAAAGCTTGGACCAAGGAGGATTCTGATGAATTATTACAGCTGATAGTAGATGCTATAAAAAGTAGACTGTGTGATGCTAATGGGTCAATTAGCAAACTAAATGTGGAGAGAGTTATCCTTTCTCGTCTCAATGCTAAAATTAAATTTCCTAAATGTATAATCATTACTTGAGTCAAATTAAGTGGTTTAAGAAACAATATAACAATATGTCAACACTTATGCGCAACAACTCTAACTTTGGGTAAGACTCAATTACAAAGACATCCACCGCTAGTGATGAAGTATGGAAAGAGTACATAAATGTAAGATTACTTCGTAATCTTTTAAATATATTAATAGTTTACAAGTTTAGTGCATTATATTATTTTCAATATATTAATAATGAATTTTTTTTTTCTAGTCTCACCCAAGTCACAAAAATCTTCCAGAAAAAAGTATGGTTGATTATGAGGATTTGGAGATTGTTGTTGGGGATGGAACTGCTAGTGGACACACTTCCATGTCATAGACCCTACTGATACTGGTGCTACAACTTTTGAAGAATAAAATGTTAATTTTGGGCTAAAAAACTTTTCATATGATCTTAACAATGATATATTCATAGCACCATATCACTATGAACTACCTTATCAGCATCCATCACCTTGCCTAAGCATTTCACCACCTCAACCCCCTTTAGGCTTAGAGGTTCCCACTAAAAAACCAATTAATCATAAGCAGAGTAGGTCCAAGTATGGAGAGAGTTCTAACTCAGTTGGGAACAACAGTCAAGACAAAGTTCTAGAAAATCTATCTGTTGGCATTGAGATTATAGCCATCAATTTTGAAAAATTGTCTAACTTGATGGAGAAAAGAGAAAGATACAAAGAGGCAAAGGAAAATATTTGGAGTGCTATAAAAGAGATCTCAAATTTGGATGATCAAACTCGCTACATGGCAACTGATTTTCCTGATACTAATGCAAAGAAAGACTTTTTCTTGATGATGTCAATAGAAGAGCACTCAAATTGGATAAAGTACAAGCTAGGATGAACAATATTGTTTTAGTGTAATTTTTGGTTGCACTTGATTGGAGTATTTTCTTTATAATTTGGTTATGTATGAACACATGTTGAGTTTGTCAAACTATATTGTTTTGGTGTTATTTTTGTTGCACTTGATTGAAGTGTTTGCTTTATATTTTGGTTGTGTGTGAACACATTTTAGAATGGCGGAACTATATTATTTTGGTGCTTTTTTGGTTGTACTTGATTGAAATATTTTAGCATGTTTTATTATTTTTATTATATTATTATTTTTTATTATATTGTTTTATATAGGTACAATGTCACATTCAAGCATATATGAAGGTAGTGCCATAGATGAAGAAGAAATGGGTGATGAAGAGATAGATGACGAAGAATTTTATGAAGCCATGTACGCATGTATAATGGCAATTCATGCATTACTGCATGTGTTGATTCAATTTCTAGTTATGATACGTAATGAACAAATTGAGCATCCATTAAATTGACAACAAAGTACTAACATGGGAAATAACTATATACACCGATCATTAAACGATGATCCTGTAATATTTCGACAAGTTTATAGGATGTATCTAGATGTGTTTCGAAAGTTATGTGCAATTATTAAACAAAAAAACACCTATACAGGATACATAATATATTTGTGTTGAAGAAATGTTCTTATCATTCCTACAAATTGTTGGTCAGAATACTTGATATTGTGTAATTCGAACACATTTGGCTTATTACAATTTGCTACAAGTGAAAATTTTTCCAAAATTTTGAAGGCTTTGAATATGATAGCACCTACTTTGATGGCTAAACCAGGATCAGCTATGGCAGCTAAAATTAAAAAAAGCTCAAGGTTCTTCCCTTTCTTCAAGGTATGTGCTAATTATCTTACATTAAAGATTATAATTAAATTTGGCACTATTATATTTATATTTTTCATATAATGAAGTGTTATATATGATAAATTTTAGGATTGCATTGAAGCTATTGACATGACACATATTCTAACAATGGTGAGGGAGCAAGATGTAAGCAGTTATCGTAATCATCATGGAAAGATAACACAAAATATATTAGCCACTTGTAATTTTGATTTGAAGTTCATATATATTCTTAGTGGGTGGGAGGGACTCATGATTCTAAGCTACTAAATGTTGCTATAACAAGGAGGAATGGACTTAAAGTGGCTCAAGGTAAGTGGTTATTTTTGAAATAATAATAATAATAATAATAATAATTATTATTATTATTATTATTATACTAATATTATATATATTGCATATGTAATTAGGTAAATATTTCTTAGTAGATCGTGGATTTTCTAATTGACGCCAATTTTTAGCTCCATTTCGAAGTATAAGATATCATCTACAAGATTTTGCAGATCAAGTTAATAACCCTGAAAATGAGAAAGAATTGTTTAATCTTCATCATGAGTCTTTAAGGAATGTGATTGTGAGAATATTTAGTATTTTTAAATCAAGGTTCACAAATTTTAAACCAACCCCTCTATTTTTATTTAAGACACAAGTAGAATTTGTATTAACATGTGCATCACTACATAACTTTCTACGCAAAGAATGTTGTTTTGATGAATTTCTAATTGAACCAATGGACGAACATTCATCTTCAACATTACCGGTTAATCAAGATCATAATTTTGAGTCTATTATTCAAACCCAGGAATAAGAGCGAGAAAAAGCTAATACTTAGAGGACTAGTATAACAATGGATATGTGAGTAAATGTTATTTAAAATAACATGATATTACATAGAATTATTATTATTTATCTAGACATTTTTATTTTTTATTTTTTTTTATCTTTGACTCTTTTTAAATTTGAATGAACGAAAAAAATCTTGAACTCCCATGAAATTCTAAAAAGTTTACAAAGCTTCGCAGAATCTATTAAAATTATGACTTAAAAGTCTTGCAGAATCCATTAAAATCCTAATTTTAAAGTCTTACAATTCTGCAAAGTCTTAAAAGTCATGAAAATCCTGTAAAGTCTTTTAAAATCTATAAAACTTTTTTCAACTGAAAAAGTCCTTTAAAATTTTAATCTAATACACTTCTCAGTTTTTAGTTTATGTAATTAAAACTCACAACTTTCTCTAAGGCTTTATTTAAGAGTTTGGAGGGGGAGGAAAGGAAAGGGTTTGAAGGGAGAAGGAGAAGAAGAGAAGAGAGGAGAAGGAGGTGAAACCCTAATTTGTTTGGATATTTAATATTGAGAAGGGGGTTAATTACATAAATAATTTTAAAATTAATATTTTTATTTTTAAATTTTTTTAAAAAAATTATCACTTAAAAAATTAACATTTAAAAAAAAATTCATTTGTAAAATAATATGAAAAAATAGGAGCGAGAAAACCCTCCAAACAAAGGAACTCAAAAAACAAGCTTTTAGAGGATTTAGAAAAACTTCTAAAACATTCCCATCCTAATTAAGCAACTCTCAAACAAGATTAGTCACTTTCTAATCCTTCTTTCCCGCTCCTCACCTCCTAAACCTAACTTCCAAACATAACCTAAAAGAAGAACACCAATTTTTAATTCTCTAAAAAAATATTTAACTTAGAGCATAAAGATTGTCCAATATTATTAATTTTTTGAAGTTCATCAACCTCACATGGGATATTTAACTCCTCCATAACCTTTTATGTCCCAAAACCAGATCTAAAACTTTTGAAGCAAGAACTTTGTTTTTGTACGACATATTTTCATATTTAAAAAAGTTAGAACTCACCTGGTTCGTTGTATGCTTAGTGGGAAGAAATTCTTGCATAATGGAAGCCAAATCCTCCTCAAACAAATTCAAACTCATCTTCATCTTCTTCTTGCTTTGCGACATCAAATCCTCATCTATTGTCGATGATGTATCTACTCCTAGATTTAAGTAGAAACAGCAAGAAATTGCTGATGTTCAACTTGAGATGCAGCAAGCCACAAAAAGGACAAAGAACCACAATTAGGGCTCCTTCAGAAAGACTACAATTTTTTGGGTCTTACAACTCGTCAATATTTCAACTATCATTTGAATAAATTAAATAAATGATAAATTAATTTTAAAAAATTATAAAAAAATAAATTTATATTAAATTAAACATAAATACTTAATATAGAAAATACTACTATGTAAGAAAATTCTTAAAAACACTATTGTTTAAAAATTCGTACTTGCACATTATGTATAAAGATGATAAATATTCTATTATAATTAAAAAAATTAAAAATTTAATTAATAATAGATTTTGTAAATGTTTAATGTTTTGTGTAAGACAACTCTTATTGTACTTATCTTAAGCAAGATATTTCTGTATTATTTTTAAAAAAAATTTCTTACATATATCTGTTGTTATTTTTAATTTTTCTGAATCTGCTCGCGCGATCGTTGGGTTTATTTTCAGTAGTCCTGCTTTAGATTATACACATACACCTCCACCTTCGTACTTAAAAGTCTTAAAGTTATTTAAGATTTATTCGAAGGAGATTATCATTTAAAATTCAAAATATATCTCGTTAGTATTTGATCTCATCTGGTGTGGGATTGACTATAAACTAAATTCAACAGCCTTTGCTAAAAAATTTGTAATTAGTAGCGTTGCAATTGGAGTAACTTGTTGATTACGTTGTGCTACTTCCTACTCCACCACCACTGCTTTTAAAATACTAACCAGAAAAAGCACAAGATTATACTACACTGGTTCGGTCTCATCTGATAGCTTAAGGGTTTGGTAGAAAGCTTCCTCGCAAGTTACTTTTCGCATATTATCTTAACTATAATAATAAAACCCAAATAGCTCTCTATATTAAGCTTACTTTCCGCCTCATTTACCTGCACCAACATATATATATATATATACCCACTGTTTAATAAAATATACACGTATCAACATTTATATTACAAATTAAAGTATCGTATTTTAGAATTAAAATATCAGTCGTAATTTGCCGTGAATATATTTAAGGGTTAAAATTAATTTAAAATAATATTTTAATTATACTTCTTTTTGTTGTAATAATTTTTTTACCAATATTTTTGTTAATTTTGTGGTATTTTTTTAAAATTAAAATTGTTTCTTAATTTTTTTTATTACCTTATATAATTTTTCATCTTTTGTGAATACCTATTTTTACATTTATTAAAATTATCTTATTTTTGTTTATTTTTAAAAATTTAGAATTTATTGTTATTAATATATATTGATGTTCAAATTTAAATTTAAAGTTATTTTGACACTATAAGAGTATTATTTTAAAATAAATTTTATTTTTAAATTATTTAATTTTTATCATTTTAATACATATTATTCATAATTGTAGAGTTAATTCAAAATAAATTTTAAAAAATTTATTGTTGAAAATTATTTTACTATATATATAATTATTTACAAAAATATTAAAAAAATTATTTAATTATTAAATAATATGTATATTTATTATAAAATAATATACCTGTGCATTGTGCGTGTTGCTAAACTAGTTAATAAAGATTTACAGGTAAGATTAATTTTAGAATTAAATTTACTCAACTTTAAAAGAACAAGGTTTGTTCTATGTGAATGGTCTTCAACTAGTTTTCTTATCACTAGTCTCCTTATTTTTCTGCAATATAAACAGTTGTATCCCATTGACATTTTATAGTTAGTTAGTTAGCTTCAACTATCATATGCCTTTTCATTTCATTGAAACAGTTTCTGGCAATATTAGTATGCTCGTGGAGGATGAGGAAGTTAAGAACTGGAACCTTGTTGCATGGTGTTCTTCGCGTTACAATATTTGAGGTTGATAAGTTTTATCGTAATGATTGCTGCAATTGTTTCCCTAAGGTATGCTCCTGAAATTTGTGAAGTTCTAAGATCCTAATAAGTATACTATTTTGATCCTTGGTTTGTTATTTGATATTGCTTTAAAGTAGATGTTTTTCTTTCCATGCGAATAAGACCATTCTCTTTGACATAATTTGAGAGGCATTTAATTGTCGTTGCCTCGTCATCACACCAAATGATTGAACGCTTTGTCAAATATTTTCAACAATATAATCTTATCTTGCAAATGACCATGTATTGAGCTATAATATTAACAATTAATATGTGGTAATCATTAATTTCTAGTGCCAATGATGGTTGGAAATGTTGGCAATGTTCATGCAAATAATAATACTTCTGATAATCAAATTATGTGCATGTAAATTTAATATCAATAATGAAAAACAAATGCCTTTTCCTACTTTAAAAGTTGTATCAAACAGAACTCTGTTTAAGGTGCATCAGTCTCTACATGTTTAGTGTGTGTTTTCCATGATTTACTAAATCTTTTCATGTCTGTTTTATAGCAAACTGTCTTTTAACTGCAGCTGCACAAAACATATTCTATAAAACTAATGATCGAAAAGTTTATTGCATCCATCTTGATAGTCAAAAGGTTGCTGATAAGCACATCTCTTTTAAAGCTCTTGTCAGTCTATGTCAAAGCCTGGATTTGAAACTGTGTGGACTAACTCAAAGACTTCGTTAATGACCACGTTTGCAGGTCATTGACCCAATTGGGAAAGGTGTGGTTAGACTATATGCAACCATTAAATTAGGCAACGCTACAGTAGGCAGAACTAGAATTACAAACAATGACCATTGTAATCTTCAGTGGTATGAATCTTTTCGAATTTATACTGCTCATGTTGCAACTGATGTCATGTTTTCTATCCAAGAAGAAGAACTAATTGGCACAAAATTGATTGGCACAGCTTATTTTCCTGTTGAAGATTTAGGAAATGGACAACAACTTGATAGATGGCTTCATATCTTGAATAAGAAACATAAACCTCTCCAAGGAGGTCCTAGAATTCATGTAAAGGTACAGTTTTCTGATGTCACTCAGGACATTAACTGGTCTCAAGGGATTATAAGTCCACAGTTTCCTGGAGTCCCACACTCGTACTTCACTCAGAGAAGTGGTTGCAGTGTCACACTTTACCAGGATGCTCACATTCAAGACAATTTTTTCCCCAAAATTCCCTTGACTGGGGGAACGTACTATGAGCCACACAGATGCTGGGAAGATGTCTTTGATGCCATTTACAATGCTGAGCACTTGATCTATATAGCAGGATGGTCTGTTTACACCAAAATTACCTTGATTAGGGATATGAGTAGAGAACAAGAAGGAGAGTTGACACTTGGAGAACTTCTTAAAATGAAGGCTGCTGATGGAGTTACAGTTCTAATGCTTGTTTGGGATGACAGAACTTCAACAAAACTGCTAAAAAATGATGGAGTGATGGCTACTCATGATGAAAATACAGAAAGTTACTTCCATAACACCGGAGTGCACTGCGTGTTATGCCCGCGCAATCCTGATAATGGACAAAGCATTGTCCAAGGCCTTGAGGTTGCCACCATGTTTGCACATCATCAGAAGATCTTAGTTGTCGATGGTGAGATGGCCAGTGTGGATGTAGAGGGAAGGAGAAGAATTTTGAGCTTCATTGGTGGAATTGATCTGTGTGATGGGAGATATGACACCCCTTTGCATTCCCTTTTCAGGACTCTAGGGACAACCCACCATGATGATTTTCATCAACCAAATTTTAGAGGTGCCTCAATTGCCAAAGGTGGACCAAGAGAGCCTTGGCATGACATACATTGCCGCTTAGAAGGACCAATAGCTTGGGATGTTTTGATTAATTTTGAGCAGAGGTGGAAAAAACAAGGTAAGGAGGATGTTTTACCTGTTGAACTTGGAAAACATGCTGATATTTTTGTACCCCCAACACCACTAGTAGATAATGAAGCATGGAATGTTCAACTGTTTAGATCCATTGATGCAGGAGCTGCTTATGGCCTCCCAAATACCCCAGAGGATGCAGCCAGGTATGGTCTTCTGATTGGGAAAGATCATGTCATTGACTGCAGCATCCAAAGTGCTTATATTAATGCTATCAGGAGAGCTAAAAATTTTATCTACATAGAAAACCAATATTTCCTTGGAAGCTCTTTTTGCTGGAATTCAGATGACCTAAATATCAATGAGGTGAAAGCTTTGCATTTGATTCCCAAGGAACTGTCTCTAAAAGTCGTTAGCAAGATTGAAGCTGGAGAGAGATTCAGTGTCTACATTGTTATTCCAATGTGGCCAGAGGGTATTCCTGAAAGTGCAGCTGTTCAGAGCATCCTGAATTGGCAAAAAATGACAATGAATATGATGTATACTGATATTGTTCATGCTCTACAAGTCAAAGGAATCCAAGCAGACCCAAAAGACTATTTGAGTTTCTTTTGCCTTGGAAATCGGGAAAAGAAGAATAACGGAGAGCTTGAACCTTCTACAGGGCCTGAACATGAATCGGATTACAACAGAGCTCAACAAGCAAGGCGGTTCATGATCTATGTCCATGCCAAAATGATGATAGGTAACTCCATCCACCACATTCCTTTTCTTCAACTAAGATTCATCATTTCATTTGTCACTAATTTTATTTATTTAAGGTATTCGAAATGGACAAAACTGTTAACATCCTTTATGATCATATAAATTTAATATATTATGTTTTATCTGCTTTGACAATGTTACATAACTCCTTTAATTTTAAAATGAAATGTTTATCCTCCAAAATATAACTCACAACGTACCCTAAATGAATATATTTAAGTAATGTATGGGTTATACATTTTCAGTTGATGACGAATACATAATAATTGGATCAGCTAACATGAATGAGCGTTCGATGAATGGAGCAAGGGACACAGAGATTGCTATGGGGGGGTACCAACCGCATCACTTAGCCACAAAGAGGGGTCAGATTCATGGCTTTAGAATGTCCTTGTGGTATGAGCACTTGGGCATTCTAGAAGACTCCTTTCTTGCGCCAGAGAGTTTGGAATGTGTGAGACAAATAAACCTCATTTCTAAAAGGAACTGGGAACTCTACTGTAGTGAAGCTTTGGATGAAGACTTGCCTGGCCATTTGCTTAGTTATCCCATAACAGTTACTCAAAGTGGAGAGGTCACAACCAATCATGGGATAGACTACTTCCCAGACACCAAGGCGCCTATTCTTGGCTCTATATCTCATCTTCCACCCATCTTAACCACTTAAATTTCGCTATGACAAATAAACTTATTTAGCGTAATGTTGCGGGTTACCACATGATACCAGCTAATAAAAATAGGTGAGAGAAAACATTATAAAACATAAATCAGCCTATGAATACAAAATAAAAGAAAAAGAATTTGTAAAACATAACTAAATGAACGTGAGATAAAATTATACCAAAATATAATTCTAAATACAAATAAACAAAAATATTAAAAGACAAAAAGAGGGTCACATTTAATTCTATTAATATTGAAGATTGACTAAAAAAATATGAGTATACCTTCATAAAATTTAAGTAACGATTTTTTTTGAGAAATTATAAGAGATATACAAGCTCTTTCGAAAAAAAAATTATCAAATCTTATTTTCGTACTTTTAAGAGAATCTTATATAAGTATTTATTATAAAAATAAAATCCTAAAAAAAATTGAGTAGTTAATAAAATTAATTCACTGATATAATAAAAATAAAAATAAAAACTTAATAATTAATAATTAATATGATTAACTCACTTAACATAATAAAATATAAAAATTCTCGAGACTAAATAATCAACATTATTCAATTCACTAATCTAAGATATAAAAAATTATTTAACGAGATTCTTTTTTGCACCATTTTTTTCTCTTTACACCCTATTAATTTTTTTATGTAACTTTTTTTAAGGTATCCTTAACAATAGTCTTAATTATTACATATTTTATTTTCGTTTTAAATTTTAAAATAATTTTTTTCTCTTTTTGAAACTTTACTCTTCATTTCTATTACCATTTTGTTTTTCTTTTTCATTGTTACAAATTTGTTTTTTCCTTTACTATCGCCTTTTCTGAATGTATTTTAAGTACAATAATGCTATTCAAACACCCAGATTTGGTGTCTATAACTAACACCGTATAATAACAGTTTCTAAATATAAGGTTGCATATTAGTTATTCTACACACGTGAACATACTGCCTAAACTCAAAGTTAACCAAACTTAAAAAAACTCACAAGAATGTCGTGTAACTCTCATGCACTTCTGGTTCCTCCTCTCTTCTTCTTCTTCTTCTTCTTCTTCTTCTTCTTCTTCCTCCTCCTCCTCCTCTTTTGCGGCCTACTCCTAGGTATTTGGGTGTTGTCCCTCATTTGAGCAATTTACTGTGTCACTTTGTCATTTTGGAGAATGTGGTGAATAGCTCAAGAAAAGACTGGTCAAGGAAGCTGGATGACACAGTTTGGGCATATAGGACAACATTCAAAACACCAATTGGTATGTCACCATATCAATTAGTGTTTGGAAAGGCTTGTCATCTTCCTGTGAAACTTGAACATAAGACATACTAGACTACTAAATGGTTAAATTTTGATTTAACCAATGCTGGAGAAAAGAGAGTGTTGTAGCTACATGAGCTGGAAGAGTTCAGACAATTTGCACATGAGAATGCAAAATTGTATAAGGAGAGAACTAAAAGAATACATGATAAATTCATTTTGCAAAGAGAATTCAGACCAAGGCAACTAGTTTTGCTCTTCAATTCAAGATTGAAGTTATTTCTTGGAAAGCTAAAATTGAGATGGTCAGGACCTTTCATAGTAAAAGAAATTTCTTCCTTTGGTGCTGTATTACTTGAAGATCAAAAAGAAGGAAGAGAATTTAAAGTAAATGGCCAAAGGTTAAAAGTCTACCATGAAGGAGAAATCATCAGGAATAATTTCTACATCAACTTGGTTCCTCAGCAGTGAGGAATATTTAACGTCAAACTAGTGACGTTAAAAGAGCGCTTTGTGAGAGGCAACTCACATTTCTGAACCATTTTACTCTATTTGCATTATACTTGAATTTTTATTATTCATTTTACTTCAATTTCTACAATGTTACTTTCTGTGATTCCGTTTCATCTGTATTTTGGAAATAAATTGTTGAATTAATTGAGGCTTCATGTTGTGAGTGTGCATTAAAAGGATTAGAGTTGAGTAAGTGAGCTACCTGAGTTCTTAAAAAGCCTCTGATTGATGAGAAGAATCACTATTTTTCAGGAAAGGAGTCACATAGAAGTTGCAGTTTGGTGCACTTCTCTGGAACAATCACTTTTCCTTGTGAACGTGATCACGCAGAGGCTTAAAGGATAACACACCTTTCTGGAACAATCATTTTTCTTGATAAAAGTAATCACGCAAAGGCTCACAAAGGAAGTTCCTCTCTAGATGAAAGTGATCACGCAAAGTATACCAGGATAACACACTTCTCTGGAACCATAACTTTTCTTGAGTAAAGTGACCATGCACAGGATAACACGCTTAGAGAGTAAGCTTGCGTGTTATCACTTTTTCCAGAAAAAGTGATAACGCGCATTTCATAAAGTCTTTAGAACATTCACTTTTTCCAGCAAAAGTGAACACACTCACAACATTAACTCTTGGAACGTTCACTTTTATTTTTAAAAGGAGTCGCGTGCATCTGCGTGACTATATATTTAGAAAAGAGTGAACACACAGACACACTCCCAAAACCTAAAATCACATTTCTCCCCAAAAAAATCTCTGAGATTCTTACTTTCTGTGAGTTGTTTGTCGAGCAATCTGTCCTTTCTAGCACATTTGAGTCTACATTTCTACACTTCTATTCCAGGTAAGTTCCTTTTCGTTTCTCTAATTGAGGTTAGGGTTCTTCATAGTTAAAGTTCTGGGAAAAATTCTGAAAAGCGAAACTGAGAAATTTTCTGATATTGATTGTTTTGAACATAAAATTAAAGGATAATGTAGCTCAGTTCTTACTTCATTTGACAATTTCTTTATATGAATCATAGCTATAACATTCTATGCTTTGTGTCATGCCTATTGTATATCATTGAGAAAAATTTGTAGTACTTTGTGAGCAGAAAGAAACCATGTATGTACAGTAGCCCTTGATATCAACAATGACATCATACTGATGTCATCGGCGACATCACGCTGATGTCATTGGCGACATCACTCTGATGTCATTGGCGACATCACGCTGACATCATCGCTTATGTCATTGGTGATCTCACGCTGACATCATCAGTGACATCACGCTGATATCATTGCTTGCATCATGCTGACATCATCGCTTACATCACGTTGACGCTGACATCATTGCTTGCATCACGCTGACATCATCGCTTGCATCATGCTGACATCATCGCTTACATCACATTGACGTTGACATCTTCAAAAAAATTTCTATAAATAAGGGGCTTCACATGAAATTTTCATTTCTTCACTCCTACCCAAGGTTCTCGAAGGTTCTAAGGTCATATCTCGCCATTTTCTCCCATACTAAACCTCCTAAACTTAGATTTCTCTTCAGATATGTGATTCTACGTCCGTTCTAAAGGATTTCAAGTAAGTTTCTCTAAGTTTGAAGTTAGGTTTACCGTTTGTTTCTCTTCTTCTAATTTTTCTTATAGATGTTCATGATGTTCTTAGGAAAAACTCCGTTCTAGAGTTAAATCTTCGGTTAAATCCTAGTATTTTCATTTTGTTATGTTTATTACTTGTATTTTCATAGATCTTGTCATGTATGTGATTATATGTGGAATAATCCTTGTTTTATGAAAAATAATCGATGAAAAGTGAGAATAATTGGTTGTTTATGTGATTTTATGATGAATACACAGTGAAAATGTGATATTATGTTCAAATAGGTCATGATAAGGTATATTGAGGATGGTTGATATGATTTTATGATTCTGTGATATGAAATATACAACGAGATGGATGTTTCATGTTTGAATATATTGTGTTTCTTGTAAAAATGATATGTATTGTGAATATGCCATGGTTTGATGTATATGATGAAAAGTATGTGAAAATATGATGAAAAATATGTGTGAACATGAGAAATGACATATGTGAACATGTGAATATACTCGAAAGAGTATGAGATGGAAAAAGATATGATGTAAATAGTTACAGAGATACACTGGAGAGTGGAAGATGGAGACGATATGGGATATCTTGGAGAAATGCAGGGTGGTGAGTGACATTCAGGATTGTGCACGGAATATTGTGTTTGAATGCACCATATGGCCACACACTCATTTCTCGACTTGACTCATGACCATTACCTTTGCTAAGGGGTTGTCTGTTGCATGTGTTGTATCCGTATTGCATTGGGCCATCCGGCGACTATTTACATTGATGTGTAAGACCTCGAGATAGAGGCATCGGATAACTGTGGCCACAGGGCGCGAATAAAAGTAAAAGAAATTGTGAATATGTGTAATGTAATACGCGTTGAGATAATAATATGCTTTATATGACACTGTGATATGTAATGCCATGATGTTTTCTTTAATCGTGATAAGATGTGTTTTGTGAAGAATGTATTTGTTATGTATGAGTGGTAGGGTAGAGACTTACCCTTACACAATATTTTTCAGGAAACCAGGATGAATAGTACAGGCTCATAGTGCATGGATGGATGAGAACTGCTATAGGACTTAGTTATTTTGAGTTATGTAATGAATATTTTCAGTTCTATAGCATTCTTTTGAAACAGTTGTAAAACTACTATTTCTTTTTACTGCTGATGAAAATTCTAGAATCTTTGTTTTTCTAAAGTACTTATGAATTAATGAAATTTTACTCTATGAACCTTATATCATTTCAATGTCTCTTTCTTATTAGAGAGTTTTGAAAGAAATTTACTTTACCATTTAAATTTTTATGAAAATTTATCATATATTGAGGAAAGAAATATAAGGCGTTACAATAGCTACATTGTAATATTTGAGTGAGTTGACCTAAAGGACTTTATTGAAAGATGTTTAAATTGAAATCTTTTATTGTATTTGTCTGCATTAGTTTGATGTTCTATATTAAAACTGAATGCTTGAGAATTATACATGAAAAATCTTTCTGCTGAGAGTAAGTGAATTAGGGTTTAATTGAAAATTCTAATTGATATTTTTGGAGATGATTTGTTTGTATTATTTTCATACTCTGTGCTAGAACTAAAGGCAAAGGAGTAGTCAATATGAATTCTGAAATTGTT